AGTCGGTTACGTAATAGGCAATTAAAGGTAAAGCAGTCTTAAGGATAGAAATAATTTTGACAATGATAACTTGTAAAAGACTTAAGGGAAAGGCAGAGTCATCAGGTTTTTACATTCATGTAACAATGGCCAAGATAAGAAAAGTGACTGTTCACGTTTCTGACAAACGCAGTAGTTTGACTTCTTCTAGTACATTCCGATGTCTTCAGCTGTATTCAGAAGACAACAGTTCACTTTAGACCGTAAAGGTTCGATCAAGGAAGACGATTCCATATTTTCTTAAGCTGATCCTATCCGTTGCTTCAGTAATTTATTAAAGTTACTGGAGCTCTTTGAAGAAGTTGGTTAAACGATGGGTATAATTTTCCACTTAATTAACGAACAATGACATAAGACTGACACTGTAAGCGTTGTCAGTAGTTATAGTTCAGTGATGCTGAGATAAAAAACTTTAATTACGAGTTAAGGGAACCCTATACAATTCATAAATTAGATTAACAGATGAATCTAAACTATCTTCCTAACTTCCCCCACTAAATTCCTGAGATGAGTACTGACAATGTTAATTCTAACTCCCTAATGATATGTAACATTCAAAGATTATCAGTGAAACTTTTTACCATTTAGCCGATCATATAAAGCTGCTGGAAGTCATGAATGAACATGCAAATGGCAACATAGTTGATTGATAATAGGATACTGGGAAATATTTTGCATTCCTCTATCAACTTTCAGTAGTAATTAATTCCGAAATCATTATCACAGTTTTCAGGTAACAGTGTTCTAAATCAGATTTACCCCTTCACTGCATGACAAGATTTCCATCAATTTTCGTTTAAATTTAAAATATAAATAATTATTATTAGGACAGCTGTCTAACTGTTCGATATCAACTTAAAGAAAGATAATTCCTTTATTCTTTGACATACTTTGTTAATGCGGGTAAATAATTTAGCTGCATCTGGTAACAGGTAGGATATAGTACTACTACTGTGGATAATTCTCAAAGCATTTCAGTAATATGAGGAGAATCTTCCAATTTTTTGTTAAGGAAAAAAACTCATTTGTTTCTTCATTGTTACATGACAGTTCATTAATCATTTTGCGTAACAAATATATTGGATCATACAAGGGTATAGCTATTTGTATAAGTCAAAGTTATGTGTACACAGAAAATTTATTAATTCTATTAAATTCTGAAGAAAAAATTCGTTAATTAATTTTTTTCTGTTTCACACAAAATTAAACAGTGGAATTTTCAATTTTATAATAAAAAATATGACTAGTATGAAATATCGTCATGCATTTACTATCGGAATCTCAAGCTATGCAACTATCTTGACTGTTTTTTTAATATAAAATAACGTTTCGTATTATTTAACTAATGAGAATCAAAAATATATTGTTTTTTTTTAACTCACTTTCCTCTATTTAGGTGCTTATAACTTTTATTCAAAATAGTACTGACTTTTACTGTCATCAATTCATCTACTTATGACGTCAAATATTCTACTAATATGCCTTAATAACAATAATAATGTTATGCATTTACGCAAACATTTCTAACAGTTAGATCAGATTTATACTTTTGAAATTCAGTTTACATGAGAGATGAAAAAAATGACAGGTCTAATGAATCAGTATAACAAGCGATATAACAGTAAGGTAAATAATAACTAACAATACTCCTGATAAAACCAAGGCAGTTGTTTTTGTACAGATAGTACGGAGACAACCAGTCCTACGAGTGGCTGTTGTCTCCTTTTATATACATAAAAATTCTGCAAAGCTGTTTTAGTATCAATATTAAATCAATCAAATCAATAATTTGTTCTGTCGTCGACGAGGCTGGTAATAGGCCACCTGAGATTATAGAGGTTTCGAACTTCAAGTGTTCTCCCATCTATTTAGGTGGATGTTTTCCTTCAACCTTATGTGTAAGGCTGCATTACACCTCCCTGTATATGTCTGTTCATGGACCTATATAAGTCCGTCTACATTTTGTACAAGTGGTTACGTTATACCCTATATTATACTGAAGTAGACTGAGTACACATCACATCGTTCAGCTCTATTTTTTTATGTCTGATGAATACAGACAACTGGGATTGTGAAGTTTCATGCATTTTTATTGTTCGTGAGGTTTAATGTAACTCTGAATGTTGACAATTTCACTTAACAGAAGGTAGCAACTTTAAATTTACGTGACTATTTTTAGTTCTAAACACAATTCAAGTTTTCTGTCTGCTCTTTTCCTTCCTAATTAATTTCCTTTGTAGGTCATTTTTCTATGATTTTTGACCATTTATCACATACTGCCTGTCTTTAAAAATCATTATAAGCACAAAACACTTCTTGAAACCCCCCTCATTAGGTAGATTGTACTTTATACTGTAAGCCACATCAAATAAATAACATAAAATGGGTCTAGACTCTACCACAAAGCATATGATTTAACAGTGAATGCTCCACTATGATAAGCTTCCAAATGTGAACATACTGCGCTAGTAATCATAAGGTTTGGTGACGTCGAGATTAAAAATATTCATCACAATGCACTGCATTTCAGGTAGTCAATAGTATCTTTTTACGCTAAGAAAAATATTAATCTTCCAGCAGTCATTTAAATAAATGGAAAGAACAATCCCTTGTAGTAGCATTTCAGCAAAATCTGTTTTAACTGTAAAACAGAGGCTCACCTTAGATCTAGCTGTGGTTCCACACAGTGAAACTTAGATTTCAGAATATTTTTTGCATGTTGAACTGGATGAAGGTAAGTTTTCAAATAAAAAGATTTCAATAGGTAGTCACACTCAGCATAAGAACTATTGTCTTCAGTTTAGACAAGAGGGTTAAATTTGTTCGCTGCACCTTCCGAGATTATACATCTGCTTTCGACTCAGTACCTAGGGATATTTTTTTAAAAGAAGCTTGCTGAAACTCAAACTGACTGCCGTGCTGTCAAATGGCTGCATTCTCATTTCTCTGGAAGAAAGCAGTACACTGTTTGTCAGGGAAAGTCGTCCACTTCATTGCTTACTGAGGTTGGTGTCTCTCAAGGCACTGTCCTTTCTCCTTCTTTGTTTTCTTTATTCTTGCATGACTTACCTCACTCTGATGAAATGAACTTCATTAAGTATGCCGAAGATCTAACTATTTTAATGTCTGTTAAATGCCAGCTAGACTGTACTAAGATGAACAACTTTCTATCAGGAGTTAGCAAATAGTCTTGGTCTAATGGCCTTAAACTAAATCCTTCCAAATGTCAGACTGCTAATTTGAGTTTCCAATGTAAAAGGAATTTAAATGAATCTGGTGGTTCCTATGACCGTTGCGAAATTGATGATAGTGACATAGAAATCAAGTCTGAAGTTAAGTATCTTGGATTAATTCTTTCTTTTGACCTATCCTGGTCTTCCCATGCCTTAGCGATTTCTAAAGGAATATTTCGTCTAACTTTCTACATTAAGAAGTTAAGGCATTCACGCATCACTCAACCCCTCCTCTTACAGTTTGTCAACTCATGCATCTTACCTAATCTTCTTTACTGTTCACCATTATTCTTCCTTGGATTGCTAAAGAAAGACTATGTCATTCTTCGTAGAACTCTGAAGACTGTCAGTAGGGCGAGTGGTATCCCTTAAAGAGCTATATCGTTGACATCGTCATTGATAGGCACTTGATTTCAAGCAACAAATTTACTAAAGGATTTTTGTCAGACTGTGAGCATCCACTCTACCTGCAGCTCCAACCTTGTGTCTCGTCAGGTAAAACAAGGAGTCATTTCAAAAGGCTTTATGCGTGCACGTGTAAGTATGAAAATTCCACTTTACCATAATTGGCAAGTATTTTATGTGGTGGAAATAGTGTTAGACATGAACTGAGTAACCTTCTTCGCACTGCTACATAAACCATTTTCTCCACCCTTACAACATGTTATTGTACTTCTTACATTTATGATCCTCTCAATTTTTTGTTTTTATTTGTTTACTTTCTTATAAGTGTGAACGTCGTATAACCTGTAAAATAGCTGTTAACTTTGTCTTTCCCGTCACCATATTAACTGAAGAGAATATAAAATTCAATAATCTATAACATGCTAAAATTTCCAAACTGAATCGACAATACTGTTTGAAACAAACTCACTGTTATTATTATTATTGTATTTAATATTCTCATTTTGTACTTCGAATATTTTTGACATTAAATCGTAAATGTGGACAAATTCCTCTGGTAAATTTTGTTTTAATTTTTAATTTTATTCATATTTTGAGTAAATCAGATGAAATATTGTGACGAATGCTGAGAATTCCATTCTGTATTATAAGTATTGTTTTTGGAATAAAGTAGATTAATATAATAATTTAAGATCACATTTCAACTCCTTTAGAAGCAGTTCTGAATAATATCAGCTTTCATCATATACGGTACGCTATCTGTTTTTGTTAGTTCGAAAAGAAATCATAATATATAATAACAATAGTTTTATTCTAAATAATGAATACATTTGTGTACTGTACATGATCTTCAGCATGTTTAATTACAAGATACTCTGTCAAACTAGAAAATCTTCATGTCGAATAACAACTGAAATTATATTATCTGACTCAACAATGTTCGACAAGAGGCAAACTTCTATTTCTTGACAGTGTTTTGCTTGATTTCCTTCAAAATATACAAATTGTATGATTGAATTCCAATAAAGGGTATGCATGAGTCCATGAGTGCTATTCATTGACATGATCAGATGGTTGGAACATCATGAAATGGAGTAAATATATATAATCGATAAATAATTAAATAATCTAATGATTTAAATTAGCCGTAAGTGTTAGTTGTTGTTGTCATAACAATTACCTAGACAATGTAATTATTAAAATCCATTCAAACAATTAGACATTTAAGTATGAATGTTGCATATTATTAATAAAAGAAAATAAAAGTTTATTAAAATCTGACTGTCTTAGTAAGGATGAAGTAAAAGGTGTGATGAATGTTCGTTAAAAGTTGTGAACATATTTTATGCTAATAAAAATAAAAAGACTAAACAACATGGTCTTCAGATCTAAATTCATTTTTGACGTTGAATTACATAATTCCGCTTCACAACAGTAAACCTTAACATTCGGTACTTGAGGAATCTCTGAACAACTCGGTAAACATCCTCTTGCCACCTGCACTGATGGACTGGTTTGAACGGCTTTCTAAACGAATGAAACAAGCAAAATTCACAAAAGCTTATATTCGATAAGACAGAGTTAAACAATCGGTTATAATGAATGTAAGAAAATTACTAGCTAGATAAGTTTTTTAAAAATTGTATGGTTCTTTCATTTTCAGATTTCATTGAGTGAATGGATCATTATATTTAAAACTAGCCTATTACTGGATCGCGAAGTAATTTGGAAACTACTCAAGTACTACGACGTACCCCAAATATTCATCAACCTTATTCAACAGCTGTACGACAACGGCACATGTCAAGTGATCCACGACGGAAAACTCAACGAGGAGTTTGGAGTAAACACAGGAGTCAGACGAGGGTGCTTATTATCACCAATGATATTCCTAATTGTGGTGGACTGGATTATGCGTCAGACAGTGTGAAACGAGAAGACAGGGATATCCTGGACCGACGTGAAGAATCTAGAAGACCTGGATTTCGCGGATGATTTATGTTTGATGTCACACAAAATCGAAGACTTACAAGCGGAAACCGACAAACTGGTCGAAGAAGCGGCCGGTGAAGACAGGACTCCAAGTGAACATAGACAAGACGGAGGTTATGAAAATAACCAACCAACAACAACAGCAACAGCAGAAACATCCAGCGCCAATCACCATCAACGGGAAGGATTTGAAAGAGGTTACTTCATTCACTTATCTAGAGAGCACTGTCTCAACTACAGGAGGGATGGACGACGATGTCAAATCGAGAATCGGGAAGACGAGAAACACATTCATCAACCTGAAACCAATCTGGAAATCTTCGTCACTCAGCCTGCATCAACAACAAAATTCGGATTTTCAATACAAACATCAAGTCAGTCAGTTCTTCTATAAGGATCAGAAACTTGGCCAGTGTGTCACCAAGAATATTTCCAACAGCCTGTTGCAGACCTTCATCAACAGCTGTATTCGTTCTATACTGAAGATCAGATGGCCGGAAAGAACAATAACCAACAAGAAACAATGGGAACAAACGAAACAAGAACCAATCGCTGAACAAATATGCAGGAGAAAATGGAGATGGATTGGACACTCACTGAGGAGGCCGTTTGGGTGACATCGGGCGTCAGGCCATAGCTCGAGTGGAACCCGAAAGGGAAGCAGCGAGTAGGACTTCCAAGGGTGACATGGAAGAGATCGTGTGAAGTGGAGCTGAAACAGTATGGACTAACATGGATGCAGGTGAAAAGTACAGCAGAAGACAGAAGCAATTGGAGACGTGCAGTTGAAGCCCTATGTTCCACTAGGAACCCAAGGGGACAATAATAAATAATAATATTACTGGATCATTTTGTCATTTCGGATAGAAATTTCATGCATCGGAATGATTATTTTGACACTTAAATGAAATGCATCAGAATTATTCGTCTTTTGACTGCAAGACGACTGTCTTTAGGTGGCTATGCATATGACAAGTCAAACCGTTACTTAGCTCAGCAGTGCTTTTTCGTAATATACAAAGCATCATCGACATTTTTATCTTAGAATACATATGGCAAACTTCATAAGGCTTCAGGAGCTCAACATTAGTTATTACAAACAAAACTTGTGCTTATTCTGAAGAATTAATAACAGACGTTGATTCGAATTTCTTGAATTAGCACCTATAGAACTTCACCAAAGATCTACAACAATTTGAGATGTTAAATAACTACTGCAACCTAAGAATTTTATCTTTATATCTTTTTACAGACATAATATGCAATAGTCATGTTACTGAACAATTAGAAATACGGGGAAAACAATTGAAAATTGATATGATATTTTTGGCTAACAGTATAAAGCATATTGCTATGAAATTCGAATACACTAGACCCATTCGCCCGAAACTATGGTTCACAAACATTTCCAAATAATTGAATGGCTTAGCAATATGCCTTAAACTGTCATCCATATCTGTTCAGTGTTTTTGATTCTTACTCCGCAAGCTGCACAGCCAACTTCTTTTCTGGTATCATTAGTGACAGTTGGACAATCCTCACATGAGTAGCATGTTATTGTTCCTAAATAAAAGCAATAAAATATAACTGATTAAAATTTTTTTTAAAAAGAATAGACACGGAACAAAGATTAGTCTTTTCGATAAATTCATCATCAGGTTCTACAATTATATATACATTATAATGAATGAATGAATTAGTCTTATGAACGACATTAATGTTTAAATAACATCGAATCAATAATATTGATAGATTACAGCTCAATAGCATCAACATAAAATAAACTGAATGTCTGAAAAGTTAGGAAAGGTAATATTACAAATTCATGAATTTATAGTCTCTACTGAAGGCCAGGACAGTAGTAGGGGCTGGACTTGCTTCTTTTGCACACAGAGCACTGGTTGTTTGAGGCGAATTGCAACAGCCTCTGCTGTTTGGAGCATGCGGTGCTTCGACGATTTTGGTAGTTTGTTAGGCACCCCGTATATTATAGAGAAGGATTCGTCTACGCTAGCTTTGTGACCAGTTTGCACTAGATGGTCTAATATCGAGCTGTTAATAGTTTTAACTACACCTTTACTTAGCCATAGTGGGATATGTTCTCGAGCACGAAAAATAAAGTTCCTAGAGCAACGGCCAATGTAGCTCGCTCCACAAGCGCAGTTGAATTGATAAATACAATTTGAAGTGGCTAGTCTAGGTACTTCATTTTTAAGTCGAGGTAGCACTATCGGTCGTGTAGAGAATAATGCGTGTAGTTCGCCAGCACTATAAGTTCTTTGAACTGATTTTCTTAATTTCTTCGTAATTAATTGAAATGATAAATAGCGATATTTGTGAAACACTCCATTGTACAAATAGGTTAATGTACTGCTATGTTGAAATTGCGTCTTTTTCAGTGTTATGGCTTCTTAATTCAAACAGTAAAGTGAGATTGTTCGAATGAAATATCTGTTCCTTTTATCATAAATGGGAGTTAATTCACCAACCATAAATAAAAATTAAAACAATTTATTCAATAAAAATGAGTCTGCATACTTAGAAGTCATATTTAACAATTAGGCTAAAATGTTCCTTATCGAAACGAATTTGATATAAGATGATTGGTGGCAATCAGAAGGAAGCCTTTGGCCTAGGCTTCGTGCCAGCTGCCATTCGTCAGCAAGACGTCCCTTCTGAGATTTGAATCCGCGTCACCCAGCGCTCCAGTCAGAGACATCACCACTGAATTATTTGGGTTCGCGACTGACCACCTGTAAGACTGTATTCACAATGCATTGTGATGGTGAACCTCCTAGCATGGCGGTCACATTGCAAAATTCAAGTTAATGGAATTCAATCTGCACCAAAGAAAGGAGTGGACACATTACACTAGCATCTGCCTGGTATCCAATCAAAGCAAGCCGAACTTGTTGGCCTTTAACTGTGAAGCCATAAAAATTGACTTTAATACACTCTATGCTTTTAGAAATAGAAAAAACAATTTTGACTCGAGTGATGTTAAAGCATATCCCTAAATTCACCAATGTCAATAAGTAAATCTTTTTAGTTTGTGGCTGTAAATGCTGTTTGACTGTTATATCTAAACAGCAAAGTTAAACGTCTAGAATTGAATCTTTATTGTTTTTATGGAAGTATATGTGACTTATTGCATGAATGACTCTTACTCTAATATCCTAATGGTGCTCATTCAGAATGGTGTATTTTGTGGATATGCCCTATCATCACTCGTTTTGCACCTTCATTTAGATATTCTTAATAACTGAAAACAAGTAGAATTATAAGAGTATAGAAAACATACCACCTCCCCCCTTTTTAAAAGCGCTTGTCAGGTTGAACAAAGGAAGAGGTTCATTAGCTGGAATAGAAAAGCATTAATTTATTTACGGCAACATATATTTATTCGTAAATTAATTAAATGTGAGGTTAAATCAAGCCTTGTTAGTGGTTTTCACTTTAAAAGTTGGGTAAGTGGAAACAAATAAAAATTATAATATTTATGCTGTAGTCACAGTGTATATAAGTGATGCTTTTCTGAGCTCTTAATTTTGTGGAAAATGATAACATAAACAGTCACTTTCACAAGTAACCATAATAGAGGTTGAAAAGTCCAGTTTTTAAACAAAAATTATCATCTTTGTCTATAAAACGAAAGGTCTATTGATAAACTTAATATAAAGTTGTGTAAAAATGTTATTAAAAGTAAGAGAAAACATAATTTATATTCGAAAATAGTCCTGTAGAGAAACTTTATTGCAGGTAGTACCATGTTTAATTTATAACTGTATCTGTGTAAGTTTAATTGGAGGAAAGTATTAAGATCTTCGATATCTGAGGGTATCTGAAGTTACTAACTACTTAAGGCAGTTTAATCACTTGAAAATAATAAGGTTATGGGAAATGTAATCACGAAAATTTCTTTCACCTGATCACAACTTATTTAATACTGATTAATACTGATCACCATCAACGGGAGGGATTTGAAAGAGGTCACTTCATTCACTTATCTAGAGAGCATTGTCTCAAATACAAGAGGAACGGACGAGGATGTCAAATCGAGAATCGGGAAGACGAGAAACACATTCATCAACCTGAAACCAATCTGGAAATCTTCGTCACTCAGCCTGCATCAACAACAAAATTCGGATTTTCAATACAAACATCAAGTCAGTCAGTTCTTCTATAAGGATCAGAAACTTGGCCAGTGTGTCACCAAGAATATTTCCAACAGCCTGTTGCAGACCTTTATCAACAACTGTCTTCGATCTATACTGAAGATCAGATGGCCGGAAAGAACAATAACCAACAAGAAACTATGGGAACAAACGAAACAAGAACCAATCGCTGAACAAATATGCAGGAGAAAATGGAGATGGATTGGACACTCGCTGAGGAGGCCGTTGGGTGACATCGCACGTCAGACCCCCGAGTGGAAGCTGGAAGGGAAGCGGCGAGTGGGACGTCCAAGGGTGACATGGAGGAGATCGTGTGAAGAAGAGTTGAAACAGTATGGATTAACATGGATGCAAGTGAAAAGTACAACAGAATTTGGTGGAGACGTGCAGTTGAAGCCTTATGTTCCACTAGGAACCCAAGGGAACAATAATATAATAATAATAACTTATGAGAAATCCATAATTTTCCTATGACAGACAACCGTGGACTACTGATGAACAATTTAGATGTAGTCATAAATTAATTCGTAGGTCGCTTTGTTTTGACCAGGGTAAACACGAAGTGTAACTGACTAGCTTATCGGAACTTCACGCTTCAAGTATGAAGAAATCAATGCAAACATGTAGTCATAACAAAATAAGGGCATGAATAAATTTAAAAAAGTTATCTAGACACAAATTTACTTACATGATTCGACCTGTGCGATATAGGATGCTAATAGTAGTATCAAAATAGATAGCATCATGAGAAAACAATCTGTTAAATCAGCTAATTGTTACTATTAACACATTAAATATGATTTTATGATTTCTGCTTATATAGTGCTTTCAAATCACACTTATTTTTAGTTAATTGCACATGCAATGAGACGTGATGAAAGCATTTACTTCACAAATGTCTGGTATCATGTAGAATGGAATTTCTAAATTCACTTTATGGTGCATCAATCAACCAGTAATATTTTTAGACAAATTTAAAAGGTATATTTATTAACATATACAGAATAAAAGCCTTTAAACAGATGATAGAATTTAGGCATTGGAATCATTATTTTCTAAAATTTTGTTCCTTAAATGTCTCAGTGGAATATAGGGCTTCAAGTTGGAGCTTTGAAGTTTCGGTAGCAGTGGTGCTTATTTTTACGCAGTTAGCTAGCTAGCCTAACACCCAACCTTCCCTATTTGCCGGCCCTACTGCCATTTTTACGAAGTTTGGGAGTGCGTCTGCTGGGAATAGAACTGTGGAACACATGCGCGGTTGGCAAGGATTCTACCGCTGAGATACTCACGTACTTGAATTATTAGCAGCTTAACCACCACAAACATATTATCATAATGACTGGATAGAATAATGCAATGCTATGCTCATTTTTGGTGAACATAGAGAAAACAGAGATAATGTAGATTCCCGGAGAAGAAGAACAACAACAGACAACAATCAGCATAAATGGGAGGAACCTGAAAGAAACAATCTCCTTCATCTACCTACTTGGGAAGCATCGTTTCAACTACAGGCAGACAGAACTGACGAAAATATCAAAGCAAGAATCGGAAAAGCAAGACAAGCTTTCACTACTCTCAAGTCTGTGTGGAGGTCAACAACACTCAGCATCAAAAATAAGATCCGGATTTTCAACTCCAGTATGAAATCAGTGCTACTATACGGATCAGAGACTTGCACTGCACGTCATAAAGAGCATCTCAAACAAACTACAGACCTTCATTAACAGTTGTCTTCGCTCAATACTCAAAATCAGATGGCAGGGCAGAAAAGATCAGCAACAGGGATCTCTGGGAGCGAACCAACACAGCAGGAACCGATTGTGAAACAAATAGGCAGGAGGAAATGGAGATGGATTGGCCATACTCTTAGGAAACCATCAATTGACATCACTAGACAAGCCATTGCTCGAGTGGAACCTGAAAGGGAAGCGGCGAGTTGGTCGTCAGTGCGAAGGTGGGGTGACTTGGAGGAGGTCATGTGAAGAGGAGATGAAAACGTGTGGGCAAACTTGGAGCCAGGTGAAGACTCTAGCAGAGAACCGAACGCAATGGAGACGCACGGCTGAAGCCCTATGTTCCTGTAGGAATTAAAGGATACAATAATAATAATAATTTACCACTCTTTATGAACCTGAACAAAGGAAATTCGGTGGCTCGTGCAGAAAAGGATGTTACCGTCATTCATTTTGTCGTTTTTTCATCAGCTACTTACAGCCTGTGAGAACCCTAATTTATGTGCGGAGAAATTTTGACGTACTTGACATACAAATCTCACATTTTGTCAATTAATAGAAGACTTCAAAATTAATGGACAGTGCTCAGAAATTATATTCATATAAACAGAACCAAAATATTACAAATATCTAGATTTCCTGGGAACGTAAAGAATTATACGTCTCATTCTTAACGAATTAGTGAAGAGACTCTGAAAAGTCCAAAAAGTGAGATTTTATGGATCAAATATTGAAGACAAATGTGAGTCTTAATTAACTCATAAGGTTCTGAATTCTCTTAGTAAATTTTTAGATACTTATAACTTCATCTGGGTAAAATGTTTGAAGATTATTGTTTATCATGGATAAAGTGTTCCAGCAATGCTAACCACTGGTGACAGAAGATGTCTTTCAATGTAATCAGCCTTGGTAACCAAAAAATCATTAGCATCCTGTGTTTGAATGTCGCAATTCATGCTTAGTTCGCCAGTCCAGTTTAAATTTTGTGCAAATATGGTGTTCACCTCAATATAAAGTTTATAAATCTTGGTATCCAACTAGTTATAGACAATGAAATAGTGTGGTAAATCAACAGAAAAGGGGATCGGAGGTAAATTTATCCTACTTTGAAAAGCCTCACGCGAATAAGTTATAGAAACGGTTTCCGGGGGACATCTTTGATCAAACCTACTAAGCAGAGTCATAAAATTTTGATTGTTTCATGTAGTCTTATAGATGTCATTCTGTTTAAAAAAGCTTCATTCTTTTGTGTGAATATCACTCACTTTACTCTTTTTTTGCTATCTTATAAAAGTGTATTTTTCATGGTTACCTGACTCACTGAACTGACAACTTTGTCACTAGCCAAAAGTTTTTGAACTATATTTTTTTGAAGAAAACTCTTCTAATTGTCTTATAAATAATCAATCCTTTTAGTAATTTGACAACTTACATAATTGTGGACTTATGTTGCTTATAATTCCTATCAATTACTTCCTGTCATCTGAAAAAATGTTTGTTCAAACCTTTTCTGTAACTTACACTTTTGCGTTATTCAGGTTGTGCGCCCGTGGCACAGAGGTAGAATGCTCGCCAACCATGTATGTGGTGTGGGGTTCCACCTCCGATAGAGGAACTTCGTCACCTCGATAGGCCGACAGTAAGGCAGGTAAAAAAGGGAGGGTTGGGTATGAGGCTAGCGAACCAACCTCGTAAAAACGAGGCAACCACTGCTACCGAAACTTCAAAGCTCTGGCTTGAAGCCCTATATTCCACTAGAAACTTAAGGGAATAAAATGAAAAATAACATGGGTTGTAGTCACATGATAAAAATCAGGCTCGTTTCATCCTGGCAGATGTGTCGTTCTCGTCTTGTTCAATTAGTATATTAGAGCGTAATTCAAAATGAAATAAGTTCATGCCTAAATTTCATTTATTCAATTTAGTCAAGGTAATAAAAAGACATAAGCAGGTTCTTTGGTATCTTGAAGAGGAATGAAATCGTATACTTTTATTACAATTCAACATAATTTAATTCCTTGGTCAAACAGTGACTGAGAATAATCATAGTATATGAATGAACTAAAATCTATACTAAGCCAAGTGTAACGAATCTCTGTAATGATATTTTACCGAAATAAGAAAAATAATAACAAGATATTGTGAGGCATAAATTATGTCAATCGATAGAAGACTTCAATAAACAAAATTGGCAAACTATAGTGAGTCAAGCTCATTTAACAGGACTCAGACTTATGAGATATAGGATTGAACAAAGTATAGTGTAACCAAGTGACAGTGGAAAGAAATCCACATCTGAAATGAATAAGAGGTGACATATTCAGTCAAAAGATTAGAAGTGAATAACAAGTTGAGGAGAAGCTAGTCACAGCCTTCTTTTAAGAGGATAAATTTGTTAGTAATTTCGAAAGAACCTATGAACTTTACATGATGACCTGTGCCCTGCTTCAGTAGGTAAGTTTATTTGATACTGCATATAGTGGTGTGGAATTAGTATTTAGAGGAGTTTTTCAAAAGACATTTATCACTTATGTTCGTTACAATAATTTCAAATGATTGGATTATTTGCTTTACATAAATCTTCTTCCCGTTTCTGGTACGCTTTTCTACATATCACGGATTAGTGTTGCACCACTACTGTCACACGTGTTTGAATCAAGGTTCATTGGCTAACTTCCTCTTCATCTGACCTTTTATCGCTTCTAAACTGCCCTAATTTACTCTAAGACGGTATACAAGTGCGTACATTTCAACGACTGAGCTATTGGCTAAGTTACTTAGCAAGCTAAACTCTTAGAAAATCTCTAGGTAGATCATAAGTCCAACTTAGTTTGCTTATTTGACGTGGTACACAGTCGTACAATATTGTTTACAAGATGATGGATGTTTCGAAGGCAGTTTATCACATATTATCCTATCAGAATAATCACGTGACTCCTGAAGTCGACTTTTATATTTTTCTCTTTTCTCTTTTCTTCAGTATTATTAATAGAGGAATTTCCCAAGTATCTGAAGTAAATTTTTCATTCGAACACTTGTTTGAGTCAAGTCATTCTAGTTGTATGCAGTTATCGTTGTTTCAATAAATACAGACCTAATAATCTCAGCCCATCTACCCCTAAATATACGGCATTTGAGAAACTGTGCCCTATTCCTTATTATTGTACAACTATAGGTCACTTCATGTGTTGGAAAAGATCAAAAAATTTTTAACTTATCTGTTTTACTTAGATATATTTGTGTATATATGGCAGACTATTCCTGTTCAGCTATTCTGACTGGCACCAGTCACCCAGCTGACTCACATCCTGTACATCAGAGTCATTTAGAATACCTGACACGAAGATTACTTTGATTTGGGCAACAACTCGTGTTCTAGACATATATCAGAAAGTAATACTGCACCCCCATGTTGTACATCAAACAAGTGAACTAATGTGAGGTTAGGCAAGTTGGGAGTGTGGGCAGATACTCACCGTGCGTTACATAGCGAATCGATACAAGTTAGAAGTGATAGAACACTGGATCTAGTCTCAAGGATAAAATGATATACGAGTTCGGCTAATAACCCGAATATTCTGGGTTCCATCCCTGGTGGTCTTGGGTAAGTACTGATAAAGAGTCCCAGACAAGAGTGAATCACCTATTTGATGCTCCCTGGTTGTCACAAGTTCTCAAACTGAAGTCAGGATATGATAAAAGTTATAATATGGACCTACGTGACTTTCATTTCTAATCTTTCACCAGACGTGTGAATTGTCATGTGACATTAGAAATTATAATCATATACACTTATTAATTTAAGCTTCAGCAAAGCCAATTAAAAGTACTTGCAGTTGAACAAGCTACGAGATGTACATGAATAAAGTTGCAGTTATTGTAAAGTTAGAAAAAGCATGTATTCTCTGATGTCTTTCTTTTTCCAGTCAAAGTGGTGTAAAAGAGGCGCATTTGAATTTCAACCAGTCTTGAAGTAATGGAAAATATTTGTGAGTCAGTTAGCTGTGCAC